TAGCAAAAACGGGATACCCCATCAAAATATGGGTGACTGTGACAGAGGGTTATGTACCACATTCTGTCACGTTTGATGTTTGTGAGGTGTTAGCTTGTGGAGATTTAAATGCCCAACGACAATTGAGCAGAGAGAACAAATAACTGGGAGAGACCCAACAGCCAGATTGAGAATAGCTGTATGGAAACAATCCTCTATTGCCATCAGAGAAAGGGAGAAACTCAAGGAGAAAACAGGAGAGAAAACAGGAAGCCCTCTGAAATGTGTCAGTTCAAACAAGGTATGGGGATGTGAATGCCTGGATAGAATGGGTCAAATATACCGTCCAGAGTCTCAACCGTAGCTATTGCTATGCTTGTGCCTCGGGATGACCGATTGCCCAGATAGTGCCCTTCCCATGGGGGTGGACCAAAGACTCCCAAGGGATGCGATGTATGATTGCATTGTACCAAGAAAAGACTGCCTGGGGAAATGAGGCCTGTAAGTCTCTCTTTGCTGTTCCTTGCATGATAACAATATCGCGGTTCCCCCTGCATTCTCTACAGCTATAGGTAACCATACAGCTTGCCTCTCACGGCAGGGTGTGAGTGCTACCTGGCATCTGGGAGAATTTGCCTTGTGCTACCAAGGACTTGATGGGAAACTGCTCAAGACTAGAGATCCCCAGGGCAGATCTCTGGTGGTACGGTGGAGGGAAGATCTTACAGTCCACCCTACCATCTAATTGGGAAGGCACTTGCGCACTTGTTCAATTAGCTATACCCTTCACCCTGGCATTTGAAAAAGAAACATCACAAATACCCAGAAGTAAAAGAGGCTTAGGAATATCATTTGATGATAGAGTATATATAGATTCTATTGGGGTACCTAGAGGAGTTCCAGATGAACATAAAGCCAGAAATCAAATTGCTGCAGGGTTTGAGTCACTGTTCTGGTGGGTAACAATCAATAAAAATGTGGATTGGATTAATTATTTCTATTATAATCAGCAGAGATTCATCAATTATACCAAGGATGCGATGAGAGGAATCGCTGAACAACTAGATGCCATCAGCAAAATGGCTTGGGAAAACAGGATAGCATTAGATATGATGCTCGCAGAGGAAGTAGGTGTGTTTGTGTGCGTAATACTGAGCAACCATTGTTGCACTCTTATACCCAACAATAGTGTCCCAGATGGCTCGGTAACAAGAGCATTGCAAGGGCTTACCACCCTTGGCAGTGAATTGGCAGAAAAAAAAATAAAATAAAAAAAATAGGCATATTTGCAACATTGGTCGTAGTTGTAGGAGTTTTGACAGCCATTGGTTGCTGCATTATCCCCTGTGTAAGAGGACTAGTACAGTGGTTAACTGAAACCGCACTATTGAAACAAATGACCATGGAGCTACCACCTTACTCAGATAAGGAGATAATGAGGAGATGGAAAGCAAAGAAAGCAAAGAAGAAGAAGTCTATCAAATTGCACCTTAGAGAAAGGTTTTGCAAAAATCAACAGTTTATAAAAAAAGAAAAGGGGGGAATTGTGGGAATAGAAATGTTGTTTTTGCAGAGTTACATTGTTTAGAAGGAGGGAATGTGGTACTGAGATATGCTTACAGTGATAAGAAAGTTTAGCAGGCGACCTTGTAAAATGCAGACAACCAGTCTCCTTAGGACAATTAGGTGAAAATCACGGTGTCAAGTCAAGTCAGATAAGTGAAGAAACATTACCACTTCAAACAGTAAAAATGTCAAAAGAAATTTGAAATTTAACAGGCCGGCAACTGAAGGCCATGCATTGTTTGTGAAGCATCAGATAGATTGTGAACCTGGATTACCCACTCAGTGGGGAAACAGGGGAGGGTCCTGCCATCAAAAGGTATATAAACTGTGTTTTGGAACTAGTAGATGCGCTCTCTCCTGCTTGTGGGGCGCCCGCCATTGCAATCGCGAATAAATTACTACTTCACTGAGATCCTCGCCTGAGCCTAAGTTATTGGCTACGGAGTGTTTCTCACACTGGTTTCAGTCATTTTTCCTTGTATGTGCTTAGAAGAAGAAAAAGTAATTGAGAGACACGCTGGATATTTTTTTCCTGTAAACACATAAGGCAGTCTCCAGAGCTTAAATGGACTGTTACTCCATTTCACCCGTAGAGCAAACCAAAAAGGCCAGCTGCTTATGAATTTGACTCACTGAACTCAAAAAGCTGCAGTGAGTCGTATGTTTCCTATGCTCACTGTGGGGTTGTCATAGTAATGATTTCTCCCTGTCATTTTCACTTTACCGCACGACTCCATGGGATCAATTGCACTTAGCTCAGCATGGACAAGTATATATATAGTAGGCAAGGGAATGGAACTGCAACTTTGTTTTTCCCCTAACTCCATTGGAAGGCATCCCTCCATTCAAACAACAGCCGGTTACGATAGCATTAGAGTTCCTAAAAGGAAGGAGCTAGAATGTTTCTATCAGCCGACAGAGCTGGCCCAAAGCAAAACAAAAAATATGTTTACAGGGCCATAATCATTTCATAAAACCCCACAAAGAAAACAGAATACCTAATTTATACTCAGGTATATGTTGGAGTTCATAAGAACATAAGTGACTTGCTTCTTGCCTTTAGGCAGAAGCTCATAGTTATCTTCAGTCTTTAGTAGGAGGCACAGTAAAAAAAAAAAAAAAAAAAAAAAAAGGAACTTCAGGTAGCCTTGCCTGGAGCCAGTTTTTGACCACTTAACCAATGCAAATTCTCTCCATGATCATCAGCATGTAATTATTTTGTGCGTTCCCTCACGTGAAGCTCTGTTTAAAACTAATTCCACAGGGCTTGCTGTTTTGCTCTTTGCTTGTTTGTTTGTTTCATTTTTAATACTCCAAAGAGACAGCATCTCATCAAATCACCCATGATAAATTCCTCTTTGCCCAGTTAATTTACTGCAAGGCTCGAAATAATTTCTCAATATCTACAAACCTCCCCTTCACTTACAATGTTACCTGTAATCTAAATGAAGCTCTTTTCTTTTCTTCCCATAGATATTAATTGTGAAGTATATTCTGACTTCAACACTACATTTGAAGCCACAGCAAGCAGCTTATGCATTTCTCACATGAGAGTATTTGTGATCTGGAATTCATGAACCATGGTGTATTTTGATACAATAAACAGTACTTTGGCACATTCTGTCCAGAAAGACAAGCAATCACGGACACACATTCAAGCATATTACTGGCCAAATTCATCCCAAAGTTACTAATTTAATTACGCATAACCATTTACATAATAGCAGTTTGGATTTTTCCTGTCATCCTCATAATAAAAATAAAAAAAATCCCTAACTACTGAATATTGCAGATGAGCAAAATTGAAGACTCTAAAGGCAGAACCCAAAGCAAGATGTTTTCAGACAGCTATTCCAGATTTAGAAGCTGCACATAGGAAATACGCTTCACTGGTAATCTCTGGCTCAAACTATAATCTGCAGTTTCATACTCACCTGCAGACAGCAATTAATCCAGACATCTGTATATTATATTACTGTTACCTAAAGAAAATAAATCAGGTTTTATATTCCATCAGTATTTAAAACCAGCTATTAAAAACAAATAAAAGCAGAAAAATTGCACTGCAGTCATATTGCAGCATTCCCAAACACACTTGGTGATCCCAATGCAGAGAAAAGAACAAGGTGTCCTAAACCCCTCCTAGTGAGATAGCACCCTCACAGTGAATTCACAATTACACAGCAAGGTAATGTGAACTCCAGATCAAAGCACAAACAGGTAGGAAACACCAGTTCCACTTCTGAGAAGTGCGAGAAGGAAAATTACCAGCAGACTGCTTTTTTCCTGAGATGCACTTAGAGCAGATAGCAGTGTCTGAAGCAAGTGGTTTACATTAGATGCTCACATTTTTGCTTACAAGGACTTCGTCATTTTAGCCGCATATTTCAAGCATTACGGTAATATCAGTACCTGAAAAACGCACAAGCCTTATACACAAATGGTCTCAGAAAAATTCATACAGAATTAGAGGAAAAAAAAACAACTTGCAAGTATGGATTTATTCTATTTGAGCATGCCAGTCTCATTGGTTTCTCTAATTGCTTGTTTGCATAAGCAACTTTCACCCAGTTTTGGAAATGTAACCTATTTCTGTTTAGCAGGCTTCATGGTACATATTGTAATTAGCATGTTTGTAGCCCCCGGTGCAAAGTGTTCCTTCACCGTTGACTGAAAATATAATACAAATGGAATCATTACTTTTCTTTTGCTTCCTACATCATTCAAATATCATAACTGAAAGATCACAAAACTTGGCACGCTATTAGACTCAGACACAATAAACGATGACCCAACATGTTTTTGAGACAATCCCCTGAAGGTAAGTATGCCACATAAAGCCCCACAGTCCAAATTTCAGAATTAATTATTTTTGTCACTTGTGACAGGCATTATGAATCTGAGTTAATTAAATTAGGAAGGACTGTAAACAGAGTAACAGCTCAAAAGAAATGCATCTTTTTGATAAAATGCGCCATGGATTTTTGATGCTGAAATACAGGGTCTGGTTGGGGAACAAAGCTAAACCTACTGAGAAGATGAATTATATAATATGGATATATTGCTTCTGCTAGTTAACATGATTAAAAGACTATGTTAGAAGAGACTGTCAGGCAAAAACTGATCGTTCTGATTGACAATGGCAATACAACCAATACCGGTATTTTAATGAGCATACGGCCACCAGTCCCAGAGGAATGCAGAAAAAAAGCATTGCAAATGTTTATCAGTTTTGAAGCTAGTAAAACACCACAGTTTCTCTTTGAGAAAGGATGCAAATCCCCAAAGTCTACCAGATCAAAAGCAGAACAATCACACCAAAGTACAGAATATAATGATATAGTCATGCCAAGAGATTCAGAAGCCTTTCCATAGTAAAAGCATATGACGGGCTAAGACCATTCAAATAAACACACACAATGATTTCAGAAATTTGTCATCGTCTCAAGCCATACCATCAGCACATAGTATTTTGTCCTGGACAAACATCTCAAGATTTGACTCTTAAAAGCAAATAGACAATTAGTTTTAAAACTGAGTAACTGAAACACAGTTTGCGGAAGCTATCAGGAAGCATTTCATAGACATATCAATCCCCACAGCAAATGTTTATTTTAATTAGCAATCTTAATAGGTCCCATTAGGTCCTATTTTAATTTAATTAGCAACCAACTCTGCTGAGTTTGTAAATTAGCAAAACCCTTCCCAATCATTGTGCTGGAACTTCCCAGTAAATTACAAACAGGTCCTCAAACAAAAGTTCATGGAAACTACATTAACATTTACAGGCACGTTAGTCAAATCAAGACCACAAACAAATCATTGGATGCCCTAGATGGATCAAAAGTGGTGAAGCAGCAAGTCTCATAGACGTTCAGTACTGCCTATGTAAGGTAAGCATCAGGAGCCTGAGATCCAGCCTGCAATACACCAGAAATAGCGTAACACGGATTAACTTCTTACTGTGAGATACCCAAAATATGCATCCCAACTGCACAAGCCATGGCTGAGCTCCACTCTCCACAGGCATGTCACTGCCAGGTTTGAGACTTCCAGAACATACAGAAAATATTATAAACTTTAAGGTGAACATTGCCTGAAACAGTTCAGACATAAGTGACAACAGAGGGTGTACCAGAAAACTTTCACTCCTCTTGCACAATACAAATGAGATTCAAGGCAAATTATTTCACTACTGTTCTGGATCAAATCATTTTACATTTTGCACCCTGTGCAATATTTTTTCCTCATTTTCTCTGCCTTTAAGTGGAATTTTTTTTTCTTTACACAGTTCATTCCTTAGAAGATCATGAATATAACATTTTTAAGCCTGGTTTATACCACTTTGGACAGTTTCAATGGGTTTCTAAAGCATTTTAAAATCCTTTCTATAAAAAGTGAGAATCTTTCAAAGAAAATAAACACAGCCCCTCTCTGCGTACAAGTTTTTTTAAAAGAGAATATATGTGACAGTATAATTTCAATGTATATATACAGAAACATTTCAGTCTAGAATCTGCCCTGAAATTACCACAGGATGCTTGCATGTTGACAATATTTACAATAATTGACGCATAAAACACCATAAATATTTGGACAGGATTTGGCCTTTTTGCTCACAACAGATTAAATGGTACATCAGTGAAAACAGATATATACAAGTAAACCTCTTCCAAGTCCTTCGCATGCCTATGAAAATATTAAAAAAAATATTAAAAAAAAAAAAAAAAAAAAAGAATGAAGATGGAAGTCAAAGCTACTAACAGAGTCAATAACTGGGGATGAAAAAAAAATAAAAAAATCAGTGCTTATTCATCTGCTTTCTTTCCAGCTGCAGAAAGTGTAAAACTGTTCATATCAAGAATGCACTGATTACGAAGTAGCAAACAAATGACTGTCTAAACAATTGCAGAGAACTCCACTGGATCTGTAGGTTATAACGATTCCTACTCCACTAATGTGAAAACATCGCAGTGAAGTTCCATGTCTCTCAAAACAGAAACCTTCCTCCAAAGTTTTTTTTCACAGTGAGATCTCAGGATGACCTATTAACTTCTGACTGCTGTCAGAATCTCTGCTTTGTTACTGTTTGCTCTTTCAACATCTATTTTACTATTCAACATCTATTCAACTATTCAACATCTATTTTACTAGCTGAGACAGCCCATTGAGCAGGCTTACTCATCAAGATTTTCAAGCACTGAAGATCAAATTTCTAGACCTTGAGCTTAAGCCCTCTCAACAGCAGAAATTAATCGTATCAGTTGTGCCTCACTGACAAGAAATACTTATGTAAAACAGAACTCAAAAGGCTTGTAAGATACATATATTTACGTGTTGGCTGTTTGGCCTACCAGCTTCTTCCATACTCACTAAATTTGTTTTCAGAACATGAAATAACACAGTCACATAAATTAAAATTCACATCATATGCTGTTTCGTTCGCTCCACTTATATCTGTTCTTATTGGACAAAAAACAATCAACCCACAGAATAAAAGGCCCAGCTAACAACCGAACTAGTCTTCCAAGACTAGTGCTGCTGTTTCATTAGTACAACGTAGATTACGTTTTACATATTTTTCTCTAGAAAATCAATCAGGACCGTTTTATTTACTTGTCTGCAAAATGAATTAAACACTGTAATTCTGATCACCTAGTCTTCTGAATATTCAATAACTATTTGTGAAATATGATGAGTAGAGCATTAAAACTTCATTAGTAAATGTAGCAATCAGATTTTAGAAGATTTGGAATAGGCTGAACTAGGTTTCAATTTACACTTATTAAATATAGATTACAATTTTTTTGTTACAGGTCAAGCAGCCTCCGCCACTGAGTAACTGAGTACTGTTGCAAATCAAAGCATGTCCTTACATGCAGTCTTTTACTGGACCATTGGCTGCCTAGACTCAAAATTCCATATTTTTATAATCTTATCAGGGATACTAATAAATTTCAATGTTAATGATCATTACAGACATGGTTGCTCAAGACTTTGTAGCCTCACCATGTCTTAAAGTTACACATGTCTGCAAAACTGTTATGAGAAAGCAAACCATGAAATATTTTAGGAATCTGGAGAAAATGGTTGTTTTGTTTTGGGGTTGTTGGTTTTTGCTTTTTTGTGATTTGTTTGATTTTCATGGTGGCCATTCCTATGTCTGTAGTATCTCACAGAATATTGCATATATTTCCTTCTATTGTATTGCCAGTTTTTCTCACCTTTCTCTATCACAGATCTTCGGTTTTCATTTTGCAGAAAAGCTGGGAAAAAGGAGCTTAAAAGATTTTGATTTTTTTTCTGTCTGATATTAGGCTTTAGGTGACATCTATTGCTCAGCATGTCACTTGAAAATCCGTTTAAAACTTCCGTTAGTTTTCAAACCACTTTTAAAAAATCTCACTTCAGATTTCTAATAACAGATATTTCTAATTTCTAATAACATAAATTTCTAATTTCAGATAACTAATGGTTATCTTGGCATGGTGATATCAATTGCACTCTCCTGTGCTACCCATATATTCCTTTTCCAATTTGGCAAATGTCATTAAACAAAGAGGGAACACCTATACCACCTTTATTTAATGAACAAAGGAAGGCTTAAAAAAATAATTTCCTTTCTAAGATATTTCTTTGAATGAGTTGCTTTGCTTCTCCTACTCCACTGATTCTTGCACCTTCACATAGCTAGCTCTGTACTAATGAACTTGCTCTGTAAGATCAGCTGCTGTCCTTATGTTATTATTATTATTTCCCCAAGCCCCTACTGTGATCTTACAAAAGGCTTAGTACAGAGGATTTCTTTCCTCCACCTTTGCTTAAGGACTTGAAAATATTTTATCGTGAGAGTTGTTTCAGTGTATAAGCTATTTATGGAATACGTAAAGCATTAAAGCAAGCCAAAGCCTGAATCTCATTAGGACAATAAATCAAAGAAGAACAGAATGATTTTTCAGGAATGATGAACAGCTTTTCTCATTTAAGAACACAGATCATGCATCATTAAGGCATCTGGTCAGGTACAGAGTACGGCATATGCAAGAGGATTTAATATAGAGAGTGCTTTAATGACACTGTCAATATGGAGGTGGGAGGAAATTTTGTAAAGTATGGGGGTTGAGAAAGAAACATGACTCAGATTAACAATTAAGAAAGATTAACGATTAAGAAATGATCTGGATAGGCTGCACCGATGGGCTGAGGTTAACTACATGAAGTTCAACAAGGCCAAGTGCCAGGTCCTGCACCTGGGGCGCAATAACCCCAAGCAGAGCTACAGGCTGGGAGAGGAATGGTTGGAGAGCTGCCAGGCAGAGAAGGACCTGGGAGTGATGGTGGACAGTCGGCTGAATATGAGCCAGCAGTGTGCTCAGGTGGCCAAGAAGGCCAACGGCATCCTGGCTTGTATCAGAACCAGTGTGACCAGCAGGGCTAGGGAGGTGATCGTCCCCCTGTACTCGGCTCTGGTGAGGCCGCACCTCGAGTACTGTGTTCAGTTTTGGGCCCCTCGCTACAAGAAGGACATGGAGATGCTCGAAGAGAGTCCAGAGAAGGGCAACCAAGCTGGTGAGGGGCCTGGAGAACAAGTCCTACGAGGAGCGGCTGAGGGAGCTGGGCTTGTTCAGCCTGGAGAAGAGGAGGCTCAGGGGCGACCTTATCGCTCTCTATAAGTACATTAAAGGAGGCTGTAGTGAGGTGGGGGTTGGCCTGTTCTCCCATGTGCCTGGTGACAGGACGAGGGGGAATGGGCTAAAGTTGCGCCAGGGGAGTTTTAGGTTAGATGTTAGGAAGAACTTCTTTACTGAAAGGGTTGTGAGGCATTGGAACAGGCTGCCCAGGGAAGTGGTGGAGTCACCATCCCTGGAAGGTCTTCAAAAGACGTTTAGATGTAGAGCTTAGGGATATGGTTTAGTGGGGACTGTTAGTGTTAGGTAGAGGTTGGACTCGATGATCTTGAGGTCTCTTCCAACCTAGAAATTCTGTGATTCTGTGAAATGAAATCTAATGTTCTGTAACAATATCCTATTGTTTTATTAGAAACTTTCAGAGCTTTCAAACTATAAAATCTTAGATTTCTTGAAGTGCTAACTCTTTCCTGAAAAGCCTGTCTTTCACTCCAGAAGACTAAACTAGCATTTGCAAACATGTCTTCTTAAGGAGAGCTAGAGTGGTGAATTTATTGCACTGTGCTATAGCATGACAAAGTATTCAGAGAAAATACCAGGCTGTTACGTTTTAAAAGCTAGGCTCTATGAATGGCCTTTACAGAATCACAGAATCACAGGGATGGTGACTCCACCACTTCCCTGGGCAGCCTGTTCCAATGCCTCACAACCCTTTCGGTAAAGAAATTCTTCCTAACATCTAACCTAAAACACCCCTGGTGCAACTTTAGCCCATTCCCCCTCGTCCTGTCACCAGGCACGTGATTTCCATCAAAGGACAAGTTCAGCCATTACAAACTAATGCTATTTGCTAGAGTAAATAGCCTTCTCAACAAATTTTATTTCCTAATATATGGGGGGTTTATTTCTCTCTTTTTTTTTTAAGAAGATAAAAGCTTTTAGGATAAATCCCTAATGAGGAAAGTATGGCTTTTGAAGAGTATTAAGGATTTGAAACAAATAAATGTGTTCAAAATCGCGTACTTGAACTTTTCTCTTTCTGTGCTCCCTCCAGTATTGTGCTCTCCAAACTGAATCATCTAAAATTTTAATTTTAACCTTGCTGATTCAGTGAAACTATTCACATCATTTCGACATCAATCATACCTATGAACAGATCATTAAGAAGATACAGCTAAGCTCTTCAAAGTG